AGAAGGAGTTTAGGAAGATAATGAGTTATATTCTGGACATGTTAAGTTTGAGATTCCTATGGGACATCCAGATGGAGATTTACAGCAAGAAGTTGGAAACCCTGTCAAATTGGAGCTCAGGAGAGAAATGAGGACTAGATATGTAGATTTGAAATTAATCTTAAGAGGAATGAGAATTGAATCCATAGAAGCTGATGCTGTGATCAGGGGACAGTATACAAATATAAAAAAGAAAGAAAAATAGGCTCCAATTCTGGAGGGAGGACAAGGATGATGATCCTACAAAGGAGACTGAGAAGGCACTCCCAGACAAAACACACACACACACACACACACACACACACACACACACACACACACACAATGAAGTTAATATGAAAGGGGAAGCTATTACCAAGGAGGCCTTTCCTGATTTCCACCCTTCTCTCCATGTCAGATTACCTTCATCTACTCTGTATGTATTATCTATATACCTGGTTATTTGCATGTTGTCTCCCCAACTAACATGGGAACTCCTTCAGAACAGGTCCCATGTTTCTGCCTTTCTTTGTATCTCCAGGGCTTATCATAGTACCTGGCACATAGCAATCAATTAATAAATAAATGCCTATTGAAGCTACCTGGAAAGGAATCCCTTCTGTTACATCCCCAATGAGGGACTACCAAGCCTTTGTTTAAAGACCTCTGGTGCTGGGGACTCTGCTATGTACCAAGACAGTCTCTTTTACTTTGGGGCTGTTATAATTGTTAGGAAGCTTTTCCTTATGTTGAGCTAAAGTCTATTTTTCTGAACTTCTTGCTCTGCCAAGCCTTGGCCTATGATTCCTCCCACCATTTGCTACTTTCACTCCTCCTCATGTGCAGCTGAATAAAACTGGAAAATCACAAAACTGTACATACATTCATACATAACATACCACTATAAATTTATGTTACATAATCTCAACTGGGTCTTCAGTACAGCAAGGCAATCCTTTTATACATCCCTAACCAATTCACTATCCCACTCATCACAGTGACTTTTCCAAACCTCTTCATCCCTCTTAAATTTCCTATGTCCCCCTCTCCTCCTACTCTCTCATCTGAAAACCTTGTCTCAATTCACTGAAAAAAATTATCATTCACCAACAGCTCCCTCTTTTTCCCTCCTCCTTATCTCATATTGCTCAGGTGCTTTCCACTATCTCCTCTTTCACTTCTGCCTCATATGAAGAGGCAGTCCTTCTTCTTACCAAGGCAAACTACTCTACATGTAAAAAGTGAGCCCATTTCATCCATCTTCACCAGCATCTTGCCCTCTTTATCATCCCCACTCTCACTAATCTTCAGTTTCTCCCTATATACTGGCAGCATCTCTCCTGCCTACAAACATGCCCATCTCCCCACCCCATCCCCTTCCTCAAAAAGAAAACAAACATGACTCGGTTGGTCCATCCCGGCTAGTTATTACCCAATAAACTCCTTCAAAATGACATGTGCAGTTGCTGCCTCCTTTTCCTTTCCTCTCCCTCCTTCTTAACTCTCTGCAGTCTGGCTTCTGATGTTATCACTCAACTGAAGACATTCCCTCCACAGTTACCTGTGATCTCTTAACTGCCAAATCTAATGACCTTTCTCAGTCCTCACTCTTCTTGACCTCTCCACAGCCTTTGATACTGTTGGTTACCCTTTTTCTCCTTAATATTCTCTTCTCTCTAGTTTTCATGACACTGCTCTCTTCTGGCTCTCCTACCTGTCTAACTGCTTCTCCTTGGTTTCCTTTTCTGAACTTCATAGAGGTCCTGTCCACTAACCAAGAGTATCCCCCAAGTCTCTGTCCTTGGTCCTCTTCTCTTCTCCTATACTATTCATTTGGTAATCTCATCAGCTCCCATGATTTCAATGATCATCTCTATTCTGATGATTCTCAGATCTATTTATCCAGCCCTAACCTCTCTCTCCTGACATCCAATCTTATATCCCCAGCTGTCCAACAAGGATCTTGAACTGGATATCCTTAAACTTAACATACCCAAAACTGAACTCATTATTGTTACCCCCAAACCCTCCCCTCTTCCTAATTTTCCTGTTACTGTGGAGGGTACTACCATCCTCCTAGTCATCTAGGCTCAAGATCTACTTTTTATCCTCAACTCCTCACTACCTTCTGCTCCATATTCAATCTGTTGTCAAGTCCTGTCAATTCTACCTTCATAATACCTCTTATATATGCCCCCTTCTCTCCTCTGACACTGTCACCACCCTGATGCAGGTCCATATCACCTCATACCTGGACTACTGAAGTAGCCTGCTGGTGGGTCTTTCTTTCTACTTTAACTTTCTCCAAACTCCAGTCCATCCTCCCTCAGCTGTCAAAGAAATTTTCCTAAAGCAAAGGTCTGACCATGTCACCACCCTCTCCTCAATAAACTCTAGTGGTTCCCTATATATGAAATATCTATCTATCTATCTATCTATCTATCTATCTATCTATCTATCTATCTATCTATCTATCTATAACATATATAGATATATATAATATCTATTCAATCCTGTTTGGCATTAAAAGCCTTTCATAACTGGGTTCCTTCCTAGCTTCCCAGTCTTGTTACACCTTCCACTGTCCTCTCCTGGAGGTGATCCATTGACACAGGCCTCTTTGTTGTTCCTCAGAACAAGACTCTCCCTCCCAAGATGTACTGTATTTTCACTGGGTATCCCCCATAAATAGAATACTCTCCCTTCTCATCTCCATCTTCTGGCTTTGCTAGCTTTCTTCAAATCCAAACTAAAATCCCTCTTTCTACAAGAAGCTTTTCTCAAACCCCTTAAATGCTAGTGTCTTCCCTAGGCAACCCGATGGTAGAGTGGAAGCATTGCTAGACCAGGAGTCAAGACCTGAGTTCAAATCCAGCCTCAGACACTTGCTAGCTGGGTGACCCTAGGCAAATCACTTAACCTGTCTCCTGTTCCCTCAACTGTAAAGTGGGTGTGTTATTAGCACCTACCTCAAAGAGTTGTTGTGGAGATCAAATGAGATATGTGTAAAGTGCTTAGCACAGTGCCTGGCACATAGTAGGTGCAGCTTAAATGATTGTTCCCTCCCCTTCCCCTGAGATTATCTCCAATTTATCATCTCTACTGGCTCATTTCCTACTGCCTATAAACATGCCCATGTTTTCCCTATTCTAAAAAAACCTCTCATTTCATCCTTCCATCTCCAATAATTACCGTCCTGTATCTTTTCTGCCCTTTGTAGCTAAACTCCTGGAAAAAGCCATCTACAATAGATTCCATAGAGACTGTTCTCTCTGAAGTTACCTCTTATTCTCTTAGTTGCCAAATCCAGTGACCTTTTCTCATCCTCATTTTCCTCTACCTCACTGCAGCCTTTGACACTGCTGATCACGTTTTCCTTCTTGATACTCGCTGCTCTTCAGGTTTACAGGACACTATTCTCTCTTGGTTCTCCTTCTACCTTTGTCTGACTGCTCTTTTTCAGCCTCTTTTGCTGGATCTTCCAGAGTTCTGTCCTGGGCCCTTTTTGTCCCATTATATTACTTCACTTGGTGATCTAAGCAGCTCCCATGGATTTCACTACCATCTCTATGCTGATGATTCTCAGTTCTACCTATCTTGCCCCAAACTCTCTGTGGACTTTCAATCTCACATCTCCAACCACTTTTCAGACATCTTGAATTGGATGTCCAGTAGACATATTAAACTAAACATGTCCAGAAAAGAACTCATTGTTTTTCCCTCTAAATCTTTCCCCCACCTTCCTATTACCATAGAGGACAACACCAACCTCCCGGTCTCTCAGATTGAAACCTAGGAGTCATCCTCCATTCCTCACTCTTTCTCCCCTTCCCCATATCCAACCTATTGCCAAAGGCTGTCGATAGCAACATCTCTTGAATACACCCCCTCTTCTTGTCTAACACTGCGCCACTCTGGACTACTACAATAACCAGCTGGTCGGTGTGCTTGCCTCAAAGTCTCTTCCCAGTCTAATTCACCTGCCATTCAGCCTCTAAAAGCGATTTTCCTAAAGCACAGGTGTGACCATGTCACAATCTTCCCCCTCCCTCCAATAAACCACAGTGGCTCTCTACTGCCTCCAGAAACAAATCCAGAATGCTGTTTGCCATTCTAACTTCATAACCTAGCCCCTGCCTACCTTTCTGGTCTTCTCACACCTTACTCTCCTAACATCTACTCTTCCATTCAGTAACACTAGCCTCCTGACTTTCACAAACAAGTCCCTCCATCTCTCAGCTCTAGGCATGTTCTCTGGCTGTCCCACGTGCCTGAAATGTTCCTTCTACTCCACTACTGACCTTTAACTTCCTTTATATCCCAAATAAAATCCCATCTTTTACAGGAAGTATTTCCCAATCTTAATTCCAGAGCTTTCCCTTTTAAATTATATTTTTATTGATCCTGTTTAACAGCTTGCTTTGTATATCTTTTTGCACGTTGTCTCCCCCATTAGATGGGCTTTCACCTCTTTGTGTAAACCCATCACTTACTTAGCACAGGGCCTGGCACACAGTAGTGCTTAATAAATGATCATTGCATTGATGCCCGAGCACAATGGTTTCATCTCCCTTTGGCCCCACAGTGGCCTTGCAGACAGGCAGCATTCACGTGCTCCTTAAACCTCCCCCACCACAGGTGGCTCAGTGAATATGGTGCCAGGCCTGGAGTCAAGAGGACCTGAGCTCTGGGCAAGTCACTTCACCCTGTCTGCCTCAGTTTCCTCATCTGTAAAATGAGCTGGAGAAGAAAATGGCAAATCACTCCAGTATTTTGCCAAGAAAACCCAAATGGGGTGATGATGAGTCGGACACGACTGAAAAAACTAGTAAACAGCACCAGGCCTGAAGGGGAGGGGCACGCCGCGGCAGTTTTTGAGCAACGCGGCCTGGGAACATCTCTTATTACTTCTCCTCAGGACCGCATCCGCTAGAAGCCCAGAGGTTCTTTGGCTAGGGCCGGCTGAGCCGGAAGCGGAACTCTAAATCGGAGAGTGGATGTTGCCGCACTGCACTTCCAGGCACAGGACGCGGCCCCAGCGGAAGTGCTCCAATTCGCCGCTTAGGCTTTGAGTCTTCGCCTTCTGGCCTTTACTCCAGCGGCGGCGCCCGCGGCAGGTCATGGGCCGCAGCAGGAGCCGTTCCCCACGGAGGGGTGAGTGAGTTAGAGGGCGGGCCGAGAGTGTGTCCCTCCGCTGTGGGTCTGTCCTTCTCTCCCTCGCTCGGACGGCGGTGCCTGAGCGGTCTCTGGCCTCAAGGCCGAGCCCACCCTGCGGCGGCGGCGGCGGAGCCTGGCTCCCCCAGGGCCGGCGCCTGGGCCTGCGACCCCGGGCCCGGGAGCTTGTGGTGGTTGTTTGTTTACTTCGTACGGGAGGGAGCGGTGCGTTGTCCTAAGCGCGGGACTCGGTGTCGGTGAGGAAGCTTTGCTTAAGCCTGGCCTCCCGTGCCGGGCGCTGGGCTGGGCGCCCTGGGCATCCGAGAAGAGCAAAAGACTGCCTGCCCTCAAGGAGCTCACGGTCTGGCCGGTTGACAACAGGCAAACAAACGTCTACAAACAAGCTACACAGAGGATAAATAGGAAATTGACAGAGAGAAGGTACTAGAATTAAAAGGCGTTGAAAAGGGCTTCTTGTGGAAGATGGGATTTTAGTTAGGACTTGGAGGAAGCCAGGAGATGGAGATGTGGAGGGAGGCACGGAGGCCGGCCAGAGAACATGCCCAGAGCTGAGAGATGGAAGGTCTTGTTCAGGGAACAGCCAGGAGGCTGTTATCACAAATTAACGTTATCCAACCATTACTAGGACTTAACGGCCGCAAGTCAGTCCTTTTATTCCTTCCCCACACTACTTCATTCCGTGCAGAAGCTATTATGCACCTTCTTTTCCCTCAGGCCTCTCCTACAATCTCTCCCGTCTGTCTCTCTGCTGAGGATTTTACCTCTTTACTGAGACTATTCCCTGGGAGCTCCTTCTTTTGCTTCTTAAACCCTTCAAGTATGACTTCTGACCGCATCATTTAACTGAAACTGCTTTCTCCAGAGTTACCAGTCACCTCTTAATTGCCAAATTTGATAGTCTTTTCCCAGTCATAATTTTTCTTGACTTAATTTTCTGCATTGGACACTATTGACCATCTTCTGGATAATTTCTCTTCTCTGGGTTTCACTGACACTACTCTACTCTTCACTTCTCTTCTAGGTTATTGCAATAATTTCCTAATTGGTCCTTCTGCTTCAGATCTCCCTCACTGTATTCCATTCTCCACTCAGCTGCCAAAGTGAGTTTCAAATATAGATCTCTTGACTCCCAGACCACAGCTTTTCTTATTATAACATAATCAACAAATCAGCATTTGATGATAATAATAGTTCATATTTAAGTAGCATTTTAATGTTTACAAAGTCAATTATTCAATCTTCAGAAGGTCTGAATTAAAATTTGAATTTCACGTTGTTTGATCTTAATGGACTTAGTTTTGTTATCTTTACAGTGATTCAAATGTACCTTGAAGAGCTCTTCCAGATCTGAATCATGGTCCTAACATAGGTAGTGCAGGTCTTGGTTTTTTTCTCTTTACAGCAGAGAAAGCTGAGACCAGAGAGAGGGAACTGTTTTGCTCATTGTCGCATAGCTACTAAGTGTCAGAACAGAAACTGGAACCCAGCAAGGCCAGTACTCTTTCTTCTTCAGTATTAGAAGGTTCCTACACTGTAAAAGATATAAAGGGAGGGCCATATGTGATGATTCCGCTTCTACAGCTGAATTCAGTAAACATTTATTAAGCACCTACTCTGTGTGAGGTACTGCTAGATTGAAGATACAAAGGCAAAAATAGATGAGTACCTACCTTCAAAGAACTTTTATTCTAGTAACGGCATACTTTCAAAAGAGAAAGCATAAGATAATGGGTAGCATCAGCAAAGGCCTCTCGGAGGAGACGACACCTGAGGTGTGTTTTGCAGGAAGCTAGAGATTCTTTGAGGCATGTATGACAGAGTGCTCCAGAAGAACTTGACTTCATTCCCCCTCCAATACATTCTTCATTTTCTACCTCCTTATTTAGCCTACTTCCTATTAATGCTTATAATAGCAAACATTTATATAATACTTTAAGTTAAAAAGTACTTTACATATATTATCTCATTTGATTCTCAAAACATCTTTGCAAAGTAGATGTTGTTTTCATTTTACATAGATAAAGAAACTGAGACCAAGAGAAGTTAAGTGACTTGCCTAAGGCCAGACAGCTAGAAAGTATTTGAGGCAAAGATTTGACCTCTGGTCTTCCTGATTCCAAGTCCAAGGATTATAGCCACTATTTCACAGGTCAAACTCCTGATTTTCTTTTTAAATCTGATTGAGATGCTTCCTCTTCCATAAAGCCTTTCTGACTTCTTTGAACCTCACATAGAGAGATATAAATGGCAATGCATTTATCTCAAAATAGGGAATATTATAATATTCTTTTCTGTTTTCTCTCTACTAGATCATAAGCTCTATATGGGCATCTATGTTTAGCCTAAACTTTGTTTCAATCTAATGCCTGGTACAGTGTTCTGCACACAATAAGTGCTTAATCATTGTTTATGATGTTAAATAAGGCTTGATCTCTGCCCTTCATGTTCTTGGAGTTTACTTAGATTACAAGCCTCATAAGTAAAAAGCTAATTAATAATAAGAGACAGTCTCTACTTAATTCCAAATGAGTGATAGAATAAGTGGTGTAGATGTTCAGAGGAGAAAGATCATGGGAAATGGGCTCTAAAGGATGGTAAAATTTTGAGGGGGAAGGAAGAATCTTTAAGTGCTAGTCTTTGATACTTTGTCATGGTTTGAAGATAATCAAGTCTTCACTTAGGGGAGATGTGGCCAAAGCTCTCTATCCTCTAAGCCATGATTTCAGAATTGATTGTTCTGGGAATTAAATAAAAAGGAAGAATTCAACCTAATTCCAACAGGCATTTACTATGTGTCTATTACAAGGCACAGTACTAGGATCGACGATACAAAGGCAAAAATGAAACAGTCCCTGCTATCAAGGTGCTTATATTTTATTACTAAGGGCAGGAATTACTATGTAAATAGATAAGCAAATGCAAAGTAATGGGGGGGTGGCCTTTGTGGGGAAGGAAACCCTTACGAACTGGGAGATCAGGAAAGGCCTTGTATTGGAAGTTGTACTGAAGGGAGCTTGGGATTCAAAGAGGTGGAAAGGAGGAGGGAAGAGATTACATGCATGAGGGCAACCTATGCAAAAGCACTGAGGAAAGAAATACAATGTCACGTATGGATAGGAACAAGGAGGCTACTTGAGCTGGAAAATGGAATACGTGAGAGGGAGTATCATGAAATCAGTCTTCAAAGTTAGTTTGGAGGCAGATCGTGAAGGAATTTAAATGTCAGATGAGTTTGTATTATGTCGTAGGGCCGGTGGGGAGTCACTGAAATTCCTTGAGTAGGAGAATGACATGGTCAAAGCAGTGCTTTAGGGATGTCAATTTAGAGAGACCGATTAGGAAATTATTGAGGTAGTTAAGGCATGGAAGAGGTGACAAGGACCTGAACTAGGATTGTGACTTAAGGGTAGATAGAAGGGAATGTGTACAAAAGATGTTTTAGAGAAAGAATTTATAAGATTTGGCAACTGATTGGATATGGATGGTGAGGGAGAAGAAAGATCATAGAGCTAGTGCTAGAAGAGACTTTAGAGGTCATTGAGTCCAGCTCCCTCATTTTACAGATGAAGAAACTGAGGCTCAGAGAGGTTAAGTGTCACCTGAGGGTCACATAGCTGCTAAATATCTGAGGCAGAATTCATGCCCAGGGCTTCTTGACTCCAAGTCCAGCACTTTATCCATTATGCTACATTGCCTCTCAAGAATTACTCTAGGTTGTGATTTTGGTTAGAAGGATGGTGGTACTCTGGACATGGAAAGTTAGGAGGAGGGGTAGGTGGGTGGGTTTTGGGGGGGAAGATAATGAGTTCTCTGTTAGATGAGGCATCTCAGTAGAGATGTCCAGCAGGCAATTGGAGATGCTCAAGAGAAAGATGAGGCTTTGTTATGTAAATTGAAAGTCATCTGCATAGAGATAATAATTGAACCCATGGAACCTTATTAAGTTTCCAAAAGAGGGACTATAGAAGAGGGGAGGGCATGGGGGATGGACATGGATGGTGATCCTAGAAGAGACTGAGGATTGACTAGACAAGTGGGGAACCAAGAAACCATTGTAAAGAAAACCTAAGCAGTACATGCCCTTTGACCCAGTGATACTGTTACTAGGACTATATTCCAGAGAGATCAAGGAAAGTGGAAAAGGTTCTATATAGAAGTTATATATTATATAAGTTGTATATATTATACATATATGATATATACTATATCTGATATATGTTATGTATTATATATGCGTATATGTATGTGTGTATACATACATATATCATATTATAGCTGCTCTTGTGGTGGCAAAGGACTCAAAACTAAGAGGATGTCCATCAATTGGGGTATAGCAGAACAAGTTATTGTATATGAATATAATGGAGTACTGTTGTTCTATAAGAGAGACCTGAGAAGAGTTATATAAACCTATGTAGAGTGAAGTGAGCGAAGCAAGAACTATTTATATTAAAACAACAATATTGTAAAAACAACCAGTTTTGAAAGGCTCAAGAACTCTGATCATCAAAACAATGATTTACTGTGATTCCAGAAGATCAGTGATGAAGAATGTTACCCAGCTCCAGACTGCAGAATACATTTTTGGACATAGCCAAATGGGAATATGTTTTGCTTGACTGTGTATGTTTTTATAAGTGTTTTATTTTTTTGTATTTGGGTGGAGATGGAGAAAAATAAATGCTTGTTAATTGACCAAAAAGAAAAAGAACGCCCAGGCAGAAAGGAGTATCCAAGAGCAGAAAGTATTGAACAATGTCAGACACCTTTATAGAGGCCAGTTGAGTAATAAGCATTATTAAATAAATTATTAAATGTGGACTATGTGCCAGGCACTGGAGATACAAAGAATAAAACCATCCCTGTTCCCAAAGGGCTTATTACATGGTAACAGCAAGAATGATTAGGACTGAGAAAAGTTGTTGGATTTAGCAGTTAAGAACACTGATAATTTTAGAGAAAGCAGTTTCAGTCAAGTAGTACATTGAAAAAATCTAGAGACATCTAGAGGTAAAGAAATGGAAGCAGTAAGTTTAGGTGCCTTTTTTTTTTAAGGAGTTTTGCTATAAAAGGAAGAGTGATATAGGGTGATAGCTTGAAGGGGTGGCAGGATAAAGTAAGGATTTTTTTTCCTAAATAAATTTTTATTGATATCTTTTGTTCTTAGATCACCACATTTCCCGATATACCTTTCTCTTTAGCTCCTCCCTCACCTTCCCAGAGAGCTACCTCTTATAACAAAAAAGAAAAGAGGGAAAAAAACTGTATGGCAAAACTAACATACTGGAAAAGTCTGACATATGCTGTGCTTCACACCCATAATCTCCTCCACCTTTACAAAGAAGCGGAGAGAGGTGATTTCTTATGTTCTTGGTCATTATAATTTTGCCCAATTCAGTTTGATTCTTTTGTTGTTTCTGTTTACATTGTTGTGGTCATTTTGTATATTTTCTTGGTTCTACAGGGTAAATTATTTTTAAGGACATAGGAGAGCTGGGCATGAGTATAGGTGTCAGGAAAAGCCACTACATAAAGTGAAATACTATTAGGTTAGAGAAAGAGTGTGAATGAAGTGGAAAATTCCTGGTGGTAGATGGTGTTTTGAGGGGCAAGGGAGGATGGAATGGGATAAAGGGTACAACAGAAGGCATGAGGTCTTCTGGGGAAGAGAGAGTAGTGTATGTGGCTGGAAGGAAACTATTTGGAATAGATGCAAAGGAGGGTGATAAAAAGTCAATACAAGATGAGTAAAAGAATTATTGCATAGTAACAAAGACCTAGCTAAGGTTACATAATATAAATTTGTAGGGAACCTGAATAGCAATGTTTCTCAACATGAGTAAGATTGGAGAAGGTAGATAGTAAGGACAAAACAGGTTCACATTTGGAAAAGAATGAGTGGTAATGGGGCAGGATGGCAAGGGATTTAAGGAAAGAAGACTAAAGTTGAGTAAGTTAAAGTCAAGCTTTTGAAGGTAGGAAAGTGATTTCAGAGCAGGAATGAGTTGTAAAAACTGGAAGGGATATAGTGATGAGATCAGGAAGAGAATAAATAGGTTTAGGATGAATAAAAATGAGACATGGAAGGACAGGAAGGGTATGGCCTGTGAAAATAATTTCATGGTTCTAGTTCAAGAAGGTTAAAGTTATGGGTGAGAATGAAATCAAGGGTATGACCATTCCTCTGTGTGACTAAGGTGGTGGTATGAAAATGCAGAACATGGTAATAATTGAGATGACTTGGGAGGTCCATGTATTAGGAAGACAGCAACGTGTATGCATACCTCAACTATGAAGGCTGAGGTTAGAGACTGATTATGTGAGCCAGGTGCTGAACCCTTGGAAAAAGGAGGAGAATGATCTAGGAACTAGTAGATAATACCAACCAGAATTTGGATGGAGTCATAGAGAAGTATGAAATAAACTTCAGAGAAATGTAAGTTGCTGAGTGGTGGCAGCAAAGGGAGGGTTTTCTGTAAGTGGTAATAAGAAGCAGGGAATATGCTTACTCCTACTCTTGGCACAGTGTGTAGGAAAGAGTGAGAGACAATGAATCCAGTACTGATAGGATGGCTGGTAAGAGATGGTGCCTTTTGGTTGGCAGCTGCTAGTCAGGAATATCATATCCAAAAGACATAGTCTTGGTTGTTATCTGAGGGAGGCAGCATGATCTAATAGAAATAATCTGAAATTGGTAGTCAGAAACCCAAGTTGTGTAGTATAGACTGCTTTGTCACTAAATAGCTGTGTGACTTTGAAGAAATCGCTTTCAGGACTCATTTTCTTTCTTAGTAAAATGAGGGGTTAGGATTAAATGGTCTCAAAAATCCTTTTTGGTTCTTATTTTCTTTTCTGTTTTGTTAGAGCGTAGGCGATCCCGTTCTACATCCAGAGAGAGAGAGAGAAGGCGTCGAGAACGGTCCCGATCCCGAGAGAGAGATAGGAGGAGGAGCCGTTCTCGCTCTCCACATAGGAGGAGGTCCAGGTAAGGAGCCAAAGGGGCATTGAATCAGTAAAACTAAACTGACTGCTATCTGTTGTTTTGTCTTTCACAATGAGTTTTGGATTTTTTTAAGATCTGAGACTTATTCTCACCTTATTCAGGTATGCGTTCCAGAATGTGAGCTCCTAAAAGAATAAGATGTACTCTACCTTTAGTAATATTAATCAATTCAATGAATAAAGAGTTTCCTTTTCCTTTTTACCAATCCTATTCATACTGGTGCCATACTCTCATTTACTAACCCATGTTTTTGCTCCTCAAATCTCTTATAGCACTTTGTGCTTTCTTTATACATTTATGTACATCTAGGTCCCAATTAGTGTAAATAATGAATCCTGTAGAGTAGCTGTGTGTATTTGAATTCACACTCTTTGAAATTATAATTGTATAAAAATGTTCATTGGTTCCAGCCCAATAGATATACAGTGATTAATGTGACTACTTCATGTGATTCTTTATTCGCACTGATCAGGATCTAACTGTAACATTTTGTATTCTAGTTATCTGCTTTTTTTGTTGTCATTATATTCTCCTACTAGATTGTGAGCTCCATGAAACAGTGGTTCTCTTTTTAATGTTTAAATGGATCTGTGATCTCATCAGTTCAGGAGTTCCCTCTAATGATGCAAATCAAAAACCAATCATACTTGTCCATCTTGTGGGACTCTTGTCCTCCCATAAAGTCACCAGTGGAGGTCCACCCATTTTTAAAAAACATTTTAAATTAAAATTTTATTTTATTTTCATGAAGTTCCTTCTTTCCATCTGACATCCCGCCATCCTTCTAGGCCCCATTGAGAAAACAAGAAAAACAAAACCCATGTTACAAATGTGAACAGTCAAGCAAAATAAATTCCTTCATTGGCCACGTCCAAAAAGTATGTCTCAGTCTGCACTCGGAGTTCATCACCTCTCGATCAGGATTGGGAGCATGTTTTATCATGAGTCTTCTGGAATTGTGATTGGTCATTGTGTTGAGCAGAGTTTTTAAGTCTTTCAAAGTTATTTATCTTTACATTATTGTTGTTATTATAGAAATTGTTTTACGTACTTCACTGCATCAGTTCAGGGTTCCCCTATCATTTGGGAGTAGTAATATAACACCTGTTGTCTCATGTGATCAGCCCATCTTCTCTTCCTTTCATACAGTTTCCTGATGACATCTTTTATTCTTTTTTGGAGTTCCTATTTGGTTATATGTTGAAATCTGCACATCCTACTTCTTCAATGTCCTCTTCATGATACTCTTTTTTAATTCTTTGGAAGCAGTTGTATTCCATATCTCACTGCTGTAAAGAAACATCAACAATTAGTGTTAAAAAGATGAGCCTTTGCTTTCACATGAAGTTCAGGCTCTATAAAAGAGCTTTGTGGTTTCCTGAAGGTAGTAATTCAGCCCACTCTCTTGCCATTCAACTCTGGGCCCAATTTGTCTGTCTATACCATTTGTTCCAGATAGAAATACTAATGGACAAGCTCTATAGAGTCTCTTCTTACCTAAACTTTTTGTCGCCCTAGCACCTACTCCTTTATTTATATATGTTGTGTGTGAAGTGAAACTAAGAAGTAAAAAGTAACAGTAAATTCTGTTTAACTTATGTAAATATTCACAGGACCAGGCAAAGCTTACATCTTTTGATTAGGTAGTGGGATAACTATTTTTGTTTTCCTGCAGCTTTCTTTTTCAGACATTTAGTCCCTAGACTTATGTTGATTTTATTACTGCAACGTATTTTTGTTTCCAGATCCCCAAGAAGGCATCGATCTTCCTCTCCTTCACCTTCCCGGCTAAAAGAAAGGAGGGATGATGAGAAGAAAGAAACTAAAGAAACAAAAAGCAAAGAACGTCAAATTACTGGTAATGTTACAAAACCTAACATATACACAACCTTATTTAGATATGTCCAGTTAGGTGGTAAAAGTGTTTTTTGAAAACAGTCTTTTGGGGCAGCTTGGTGGTGCAGTGGGTAGAGCACCGGCCCTGAAGTCAGGAGTACCTGAGTTCAAATACGGCCTCAGACCAAATACTTGACACTTTCTAGCTGTGTGACCCTGGGCAAGTCACTTAACCCCAATTGCCTAAAAAAAAAAAAGAAAAAAGAAAACAGTCTTTGAAAAGTTTAATCTTAATTTGTGCTTGTTGCTTTTTAAAAATTGCTCTAATGACATCTCATTTCTCATGTGTGTGACAATTTCAAGTTACTTGGAGGCTTGTCAGGGACATTTTAGATGTTTTAGAAAGATTTCTTATGTGATTCTGTGAACTTTAACTACCATCACTTCATGCCTTAAAAATATTAGAATTTTAGAAAAAGAGAAGTAAAGGAATTTTCTTTCAAGGAAGTTCTGTTAAAAGAAGGCAGTTTCCTTTTGGATTGGGTTATTTTAAAGTCCTGCATTATAGTGTGGGGCAAGGCTTTTCCAGCCCTCTACTCCAAGAAAAGGAACATGGTATGTAAATGTTTCCTGGTTCCTGATTTATATTCACAGACTTGCAGGATGTTAGAGTTAGAACATTAGAGATTATCAGTCTAGCCTTTCATCTCATGCATGAATCCCCTATGTAGTATCCCAAACAACCTCTATTTAAATGCTTTTGGAGATGGAGAACTCGGTAACTAACAAGGGAGTCCATATAGTTGTTGGACAGTTCTAATTATTCGGTATTCCTTTATTTAGAGCCCAGAATCTACTCCCAGTAACTTCCTTAAATTGATTCTAGTTTTGCCTTCAAGCTACAAAAAAATAAGTTTTAATTTCTCTTTATGTGACAGCACTTCAAATATTTCAAGACTTGTGGGGATCTTAAATGGAGAAGAGTTTATTGGAGTTTTGTTGTTAGTTTTTTTTTTTAATTTTTCTATTTTGGTTCTGGGCTTTGCTATGAAGTGGTAGAATGAATATAAGTCTGTTGATTCCTTATAATTTGTTTGCCTGCCCTAACGAAAGAAGTTTAGAAATTATTTGTTTATTTTTGTAGAAGAAGACTTGGAAGGCAAAACAGAAGAAGAAATTGAAATGATGAAATTAATGGGATTTGCTTCCTTTGACACCACAAAAGTAAGGAAAACTTTTCAGCAGTCCAATTTGAATTCAGTCAGAGAAGTTGTGCCATTTTTGCATGTTCTTTTAATGCCATATAAAGATTGAGAAGCTCATTTATTCTTTTTGTAATTAAATTTAGGAAGGGAGAAAGAATGAAAAAGAACTATTTCACTAAATAAGTACTTTTTCCTCCATTCTTTAGATTATATATGTGTGTGTGTGTGTGTGTGTATGTATGTATAAACACACATATAGATAAATAGATAGATAAATATGTGGAATAATACCTGACATTTATATAGGTGCTGACAAAAGCCTTGTGAAGTAGTTGCCTCTGACTTAAAAATGAGAAAACTAAGGTGCAAATTCAGTGACTACCAGGATCACATAGCTAGTGAGTATAAAAGACAAGATTTGAACCCAGATCTCCCCAGAAGGATGCTCTTTGCACTATGCTATATAGTATTATATACAGTTTTTCACACTTACGAAGACCTGTACTTTCCAAAAAGTTTTCAAATTCTTTATGGTTCATCTTGCAGTAAAAAATTCTGGTTTTATTTTTGAGAAACATTATCTAAAACTATATATTTTGAGTTGTCACCTAAGAATATGCACACTGGCCAACAATAACAGTCCATTATCGTGCTTATTTTTCTTGGTGACCAACAGCTTTTGTTGTTGTTGTTCAGTCGTTTTCGGTTGTGTTCGAATCTTCATGACCCCATTTGGGGTTTCTTGGCAAAGACGCTGGAGTGGTTTGTTATTTCCTTCTCCAGCTCATTTTATGGATGATGGAACTGAGGCAAACAGTTAAATGATTTACTCAGGGTCACACATCTAGCAAGTGTCTGAGGCCAGATTTGAACTCAGGTCTTAGTGACTTCAGGGCCAGCACTCTATCTGCTGTGCCACCAAAGCAGCAGAACTTAAATGGGCTTAAGAGTGATCCACTGTTGGTAGAATTGTGAATTGTCCAACCGTTCTGGAAAGTTATTTTGAATTATATCAGACAATGATAAAAATTGTCCATACTTTTTGATCTAGAGATTTCACTGCTATTCAGACATATACCCTAAGGACATCAAAAACAGAAGCATCTCATATTTGCCAGAATATTGACAGCAGCACTCTTAAATTGGTTATCTTTTTAAATATATAATAACTTCAGCATGAAATTTTCAAAGCTATCCTGCTTGTCAGTGATCCTTTCTGGTCTTCTTTGTGTTCTTTCTGTTTGCTTTTCAGATATTTATGTGTGATTTGTTTCAGCAAACAAACAAACAAACAAAAAAACCTGCTTCCAGTCTCACAGGAAGAGTTAGGCTTTTTCCTTGCCAAACCTAATCCTTCTACCAGTGGCCTTGATTCTATTTATCCTAGTTCCTTTGACTTTGCTCCAGTTGGAAGGGACTGCAGTGCAGGGCTTATCAAATCCAGCCCATATCTGAAAAGAAATCCCTACTGTAACATACCAGAAAACTGGTCATCTAGCCTATTCTTCCTCTAAAGTCTTTGAGAACTTCTTTCCCAAACTGGTGTGCATATTAAACTACAACTTTACTCTCTTCTGTCAGTCCAAAAGGGCATGGTTGGCAGCTAGGTGGCACAGTGGATAGAGCACTAGTCCTGAAATTAAGAAGACCAAGTTCAAATTTGGCCTCAGAGTCTTTCTAGTTTAATGACCCTGGGCTCATTTAAGCTCTATTTGCTTAACTTTCCTCAATTGTATAAGTGGGATAATAGCATTTACCTCATGGTAGTTGCGAGGACCAGATAGGCACTTAATACAATGCATGGAACATAGTAGGCGTTTAATAAATTCTTATTCCCTTCCCCTCAAAGTTTCTAACGTCTCTACCTTAGCCAGCAAGTTCTTCCCCAATAGTGAGAAACATATACATAATAGAAATTTTTCCCTCTAAACTAAATTTTCTTTTTTATTGTGAACTTAAGTAACAAACACAAACATTTTAGTATATAAAAAAGAACAAGAAAGAGGCATCTACAAGAAACTACAAAATTCTGTTATATGCAATTTATTTTTTAATAAGTGTGTAGATATGTATAGGTAGATGCATGATTTAACATACTTCTTGAAAAAAATAAAATGTACACAAACACTTCTCGACTTGCCTTAATGGTAAGTTGCATCCTTCAAAAGGTGGAGGAACCAACAAAGAGCATGAAGAAAAAAAAATTTTTAATATATAGAATGGAAGTTCAGAAGAGGGCAAAGTTCCCCATCACTGCCATGCTTCCTTCTCTGTAGCTACTCTTTATGATATGCAGCTTGTTAGATAGGTCATAGCATTTTTCTCCCTCTCCTGAGTCCTTTTTATTAGGAAAACTCTTTACAGCACCAGGCAAAAGCTATATTATTACTAGTCTTTGTGAGATATACTCTTATCTGTGTCCATCATTCCTGTATTTTAAGCTGTGATCCAGAAACCCAAATCCCATTCTTAGACACTGTCTTTTTAGCCAGTTCACTTCCAAAATTTTCTTTCTTGTATCCTTTGCCTTTGGGGACAAAGGATGCAAAACAAAACAGTTTTTGCCATTGCTAACCCCTCAGCCTATCCTTTTATTAGCTTCCCTTTCACTGCCAACTTTCTAGGAAGAGTAACTTAGACTCATTGCCCCCTTGGTGATTCCATCCCCATCAGCCTACTGAAATGATTCTCCAAGATGTGTATTGCCAGATTCATTGGCTTTCTTTCTGTCTTCATCCGCTTGACATATCTGGAGTATTTCACATTGTTCATCTCCCCTTTCTTTCTTCCTGGACTTCTATGGCTCATGATTCCTCCCCTACCATTCTGACTATTCTTTCTTTGTTACCTTTGTTTGGCTCTTCATTCTTTTGCTTCTTTTTTTAACATGAATTCCCTCAGAGGTTCCCCCCTCAGCCCTCTTTGTAATTATTTCTCATCTTTGTAATATCAGCAGAGATATAGTAGAATGCTGGACTTAGAGTCAGGAAGACCTGGCTTCAAATCCCACCTTTTTCACTGACCATGGACAAATTGTGTTACCTCTCTAAAATTCCATTTTCTTATCTGTTAAATATAGCTAACAATACTTCCTCAGATTGGAAGGATCAGATAAGATAATGCATGTAAAGCATTTTGTGAAATTTTAAAGCACATTGTAAATATATACAAGGCATTTAAGAAGTACTTGCTGTGCACCAATTAAGGGCTGGGGCACAAATGTAAATAAACAAGAGAGTCCCTATTATCAAGAAGCTTGCCTTCTAATTGAGGAAGACAGTACATAAATGGAACATGAAAAAGGGGTTTGGGTGTGAGAAGTAGCTAGTGAAAAGGTAGAGAAATCCAGAGGGTGAATCAAGCTGGGAGTGACATGAGCATTGATGGACCCCTCATGAAATAGTGATCTGGGCTAGGACCTTGCCAGTTGGGAGAGCAAGCTTCAGGGCAGAGGTTTCTCCAGGGTGCAAAGACAGAAGTTGCTGCTATTACTATCTTAAATACTTTTATGGCTTCAATTATCCTACAGATAATTGAAGTATCCCTGCAGTTACTCCTGAATTTATAGTGCAACCCCTAACTTTTCCTAAAGGTTCTATTGCTGTAGTCCAACATTCTGTTAAAAATCTCTACCTGGATGTTCCTTCTTAACCTGACATTGAAGGCCATCCATATTAAAGCTCCAATGTATTTTTCCAGCCTTATATTGTTTTGCCTCAGTACTTTATTTCAGCCACACTGTCTACTTCTCCTGTCACCCTACCTTTCTTCAGCTGTCCCTCATGCTAGAAATACTATTCTTCTCACCCTCTTCCTTTACCTGTTGAAGTCTTTTTCTTCATTGACTAGTCCTCCATGAAGGCTTCCCTCATTTTATCCACAATCCTTCCCCATCACCCTTTATAGTGATATCTCCCACAGTTTTCATGAGTACTTTGTGTAGACCTCAGTTTTGCACTTACTACATTTTCCTTTTTATCCTTATTACTTATGTAAGTATCATATCCTATTACATGGTAAATTCCTTGACAAGAAGGAATTTGTGTTAGTTCTTTTTATAGTCTCAGTGCCAACACACAGGTACTTAATGAATGGGAAAATTTGTGTTTCTCATACTTTGAGGATGAAAAACTCTGCAAAGTATCTTTAAATTATCTGTTTTTGCATTTGCTTTTAAGAAAAAGGAATTTAGAATCTATATGGTTTTGCATTTGAGGGACATTTAGACTTTTTTTTCTTAGACTGATGATTTCTGCCAAATAGATTCTTTAAAATAGGTTTAGGAAGATGGAATTTAATTCTTTGGTATAGGGTTATGAATATGTTGTAGAGTATTTTGAGCAGTATTCAAAAATCAAATGATATTGCCAATCAAGAAATCTTTAATCAATTCCATTTTCCCAGGATATAGTCTTGCTTTTAAATTAAAATAGCTTTCTTTTTTCACTTTATAACCTGAATCTTAGATATATTGTGTACCCATTGTTTAATTTGGGTTCTGCCAAATCCCAAGATCAGCTGTGAAAAGGCCTTTTCTTCCTCTGTGTTATTTAGACATGCTCATTTCTAAGTGAACGTAGTGCTGGATATAAGGAACGCTGTAACTAACTACATTTATGTTACTACGAAATACTGTTCTTTGTCACAGTAACATTCAGCTTCACCGCCACCAGCAGCACTTTTTCAACATTGTAATTAGTTCTCACAACATCCCTCTGAAAAGTTAGGTTAGTTAAGTTCAACAAACTTTAGGTGCACATAATGTACAAGGCACTGTTAGGGATACAAAGATGGAAAAACAATACGGTTCTTACGTGCAAGAAGCTTGACAGTCCCTGTGGGGCCAATGCATTTTTCTGTGCTTTTGCTAAGACACGGTCCGTGCATTCGTGGAGCTTATTGGCTTTTTAGAGATAAGATACAAACACAGGCTGTAATATATCACTATCATTATTACTGCTACTATATATAATATGGTTGTATTACATAATATAATGTAGGACAGTACTGTGTATGTGTGTATATGTGTGTATGGTGAAGCAGACCTGCCATTTTAGCAGAGGTTGCTATCATAGCTAAATAAAAATTGAAGATTAATTGGATTATCAACTGCCAGCATACTTATAGCTGATACTATATATGTACAGTCCTGAGAATCAGTAATAATAAAGCAATATAAATGTTAGCTACTATTATAGCTTATCATTATGAACCTTAGCTGGTGCAGAGCATGTTTATGTGTACATAAATAATGCACAAAGATTCAATGAGCTCTATTCTTAGAAGTATTATCTTGAATTTGGTGTCAGATGTGAGACATTGATGCTAGTTTGTTATTCCTTTTCTTTTATAAATGGGTCTCACAATGGTTAGATCAAGTGTTGATTTAATTCAGCTGCCTGATGACTTCCATATAGTACTTTGTATAACTTCTATTATAATATAGAGAATAATACTCTTCCTACATGTGTCATATTCATTAGATATCTGGCATGGTAGATAATAGGGACCTATATAAAGTCTTTCTAACTGTGTTTTACATGTTAAAACTGTACTTTTTGTTCCTATGGTTTCTGGTCCACAGTATATTAAGCAAACTGAATTGTGAGTGTTTGGGATATGTCATTGAGGTGATTTTTTTTTCTTTTTTTCCTCTTCTGCTCCAAAAGAAACTAACACTGTTTAGGCATGTGTGTTGATGGATAATTTCCTATCCAGATTTGGGGAAATATAGGCTAATAAGGCTTATGATAATAGTCAACCCAAGGAGAAGAGAGGGGGGTGATAATGAGTTTTGTTTTGGACATATTGAGTTGCAATGTCTCCAGGACATCCAGTTTGAGATATCTAATCAGCATTTGGTTATATTAACCTGAAGCTCAGGGAAAGAGACTGGGGTTGGATATATAAACTTGGAAGTGATATGCATGTAAATGATAATGAAGCCCATGGGAACTGATGAAGTTACCAAGAGGGAGAGAAGAGGACCAGGCCAGAGCTTTAGGGAATACCTAGTTAGGGAGCAATATGGATATTAGGAAGTTAGAGAGGAATATGGATGATGGGACAGCAAAAGATACAGAGAAGGAACATCATATGGGTCAGAAGAGAACCAGGAGGGTGCAGTGTCAAGAAATTGGGAAAGGAAGAGACTGTCTAGGAAAAGAGAGTGGTCAACAGTGTCAAATTTAGCAGAGGTCAAATAGGATAAAAACAAAAGCTATTTCATTTAGCAATTAAAAGACCATTTTAACTTGAAATAGAGTAGTTTCAGTTGAGTAAAGAGGTCAGAAGCCAGATTGCCAAGGTTTAGGGAGGGATTGGGAAGAAAAGAAATTAGTTTAGTTTTTTCCTAGAACCTTTGACTTAGAAAAGGGGGAAAGATCTTGGATGATAGCTTGAGGGGATAGTAGCGTCTAGTTAAGGATAGGAAAACTTAGGTTTGTTTTTAAGTATCAGAGAAGGAACAAGAAGAGAGGGAGAGGTTGAATATTACCGAGAGGGGAGTGATAGTTGAAGTTTCAATCTTCTGGAGAAGTATAGAAAGGATAGGCTCAAATACAAAGAGGTATTGGTTTCAGTAAAGAGATGTGCCATGTGCCACCTCATTGTGAGAAACTGGGGAAAAAGAGGAGAGAGTGAAAGATGATGTCTCTCAGTAAAATGAAAGTTGAGGTTTTTAGCTGAGAGGTGGGCAGGAGGATGGGTGGGAGGCTTGAAGAGAGAAGGGAGCAGTCATGTCATAATCATTTCTTAAATGAGTAAATTCTGTGGAGAGTAAGATTAGAGGCAATCAAGTAGGCAGGAATAAAAGCATTGTCTTATCGCAGTGAGGGCCCAGTTGAAGTTGTATGACATGAATTTATCGTGTTTCCAGTCAACATTCTTGTGTGACTCCCTCTAGTTCTATTCAGCAGTATAAGTAAGAGTAAAGGAGGCAGATGGTGAGAATAATCCATTGCTGAGGTTTGGATAGTGTGGTGATGAATTGGTTAACTATAGGGTAGATTTGGGAGGAGTGAAAAGTGAAGAAAGAGCAGGGATGATGGCCTAAGAAAGTACTGAGGAGTGGAGGGATTGAAGGTGGTAAAGAGGGCAAAAAAGAGTTTAAGAAGAGTGAAGCACAAGGAAAGATGGAATGATGGGAGCTCATGGACAGATAAATAATAAGAGGGTTTTTTTTTTCTTAAGGAAGTGGAACATTTGTAGGTAATGGTGAAATCCAGTGTGTGACCATCTCACTCTGTGATTGAGGTGGAATGAAGGAATAGATCAATGGGAGTTAAATAGATGGATGAATTGACAGATTAGGAAGGCCTCTAGTAGAAAGGTATGAGTTGGGGAAGAAAGGAAGACAATGAGTAAACTCCTTGAGAGAGAATGGAGAATGCCCTGGGCGGTAGGCAAACAGTCACCATCATAATCCTCATAGGACGGGGAATTTTGATACTGTGAACTTCAAAAGAAGAGGTGTTGCTGAGGGATGGTGGCAAAGGGAGAGTCTGGAAAGGTAAAGAGAGAGCAGAGGGGGATAGACTGCGAAGACACAGAGATGGGAAATGGAGTGTATATAAGATTGAAGTTAAACTTCTGGAAAATAGAGACTGTTTCTTTCTTTTTTTTTTGTCTTTGTAAAACCAAGGTCTGACAGAGTACCTGACACATAATGAATTCTTAATTAATTGATAGGAGACTTAAAGTGCATTTTTTTCCCTTTTACAGTCAGAGATTGTGATGCTTTCAGAAAGATATGTGACAAAGAGGGTGTACTTTTTAGCGTCCCTGAAGGTTTTATACTGGCCCTTGATTAGAATAGGAAGGGACCTTAGATATTATATAATCCAATTTTTGTCTTAACAGTCTTGACAAGTAATCAAACAGTTTTTATTTGAAGATTTCTAGTGATAGGGAAGCACATTCCACTTCTGAACAGCTCTGATAGAAGTTTTTACTTATATCAATCTGAAATCTGCCTCTGCAACTTCTATACTTGTCCTAATTCGAAAAGTTCTCTGGAGCCAAGCCAAACAAACTTAAAATATTACTTTCACATGGCAGTGCTTCAGATACTTTAACAGCTATCTTTTCTCGTATAAACTCTCTTTCTCTCTAATACATGATCATCGTAAAAGCATCTGTACTTTTCTTCTTAGTATGGAAATAAACGATGCTTTTTGTATTTTGATGCCAGCATACAGCAGATGAGTATTATTCCTGGTATTACAGTAGTTGTTATACAAAGTTCTGTTCTAAATAGACACAATCCCTGTGTTCTAGGAGTTCATAATCTAAAGCAGATATCACTGATGCAGATATTTAAAGCATAAATGGACAAAAGAGTAGAAAATGGAGAAGAATGTTAAGTATTTGCATTTTACATTTATTAATGGTAAGTACATTGTCTCAATTCAGTGCATTGATAGTTTGCTTTTTTATATCTCATGTAAAATTCAATAACCTGAAAATTTGGCTAACCATCAAAATAACTCAAATTGTAATTTGAAGATGATGTATGATACATAAGTTAGTAAGAGGAGTCATGTTGCCATGATCCTTTCTAAATTTGTCTGATAATTTTGTTGTTGTTCAGATCATTTAGGGAATTACTATGATATACTTAAGCAATGCCTACCTAGGACTTATTCTACCTATAGCTAGAAGTGATATCAAACAGCAGGAAAGTTAACTTAAAAGTTCGGCCTCTAGAGAGAAATGTTTCTTACTGATGGGATAGTACTAAGAATGTCATGAACATATTTCTCATGTAAGCATAAACTTAGAAATAGGAAAAAAAACCTGTGAATTCTGATTACTTTTTGTTGTTGTTCGGTCATTTCAGTCTTGTCAGACTCTTTATGATCCCATTTGGGGTTTTTTGGCAAAGATACTGGAGTGGTTTGCCGTGTCCTTCTTCAGCTCATTTTTACACATGACAAACTGAGGCAAACAAGGTTAAATTATTTGCCCAGGGTCACACAGCTAGTACATGTCTGAGGTCATATTTGAACTCGAATCTTTCTGACTCTAGCACTCTATCCGCTGCACTACCTAGTTTCCCCTACTGATTACTACTAGGAGCAGTAAACAAACCCTATCTATTCGTTGTCCCTCAACAGCCCCCTTAGCCTCAAAGAAATCTTTTCACAGCTAGGAGATGTCTACAGTATCCAATAAAGCACATAGTTCAATAAGAAAATTGTTAATGAAGGAACTCAATGTGCCCTTCATGTTCTGTTTTTTCAGGGGAAAAAAGTTGATGGTTCTGTAAATGCATATGCCATAAATGTGTCTCAGAAGAGAAAGTACAGGTATGTATATCTTCCCAATCTATGCTATAGGTTACTAGCTTTGTTGTGATTAAGCTAATACTATTCTAAGTTGCGTATTGGGAAGAAGCAATTTTATTCAAAGATAATCAAATTTGTAGAAATTTAAGGCCTAGTCCACTGGTATCTTCTCAGTTTATTTTTGGAGTGATCTTTCTTACTTGTATTCTGACATGATAGATTTGTATCATGATTTATTGCGGAATATTTGGTGGCACATTGAGATGTTTCCCCTCTCCCCCTATTCCTTATTTATAACCCAAATACAACTCTTTAAATTTTGTCCCTTTTATTTAGTTTTATATTTGAAAAAGAACATCTCCTGGAAAATTATCTGTATGAATTGGGTTATATATTGATTTCAAGTAAAGCCTTCAAATAGCCAGTAGGCTTACATATTTATTGTGACCACTGAATGTACTTTTTGGTCCTTGTGTCCTAGTACTCAGTGGAGGCACATTGTAATAATATAAATCTTGCTTCTCCCTTCTTTTATTACCAAGTGCATAAAGGAGGAAGGAAGCATTCAAATTGATTTAGAGTTTGTAATTCTAAATTTGACCAGAACATTCTTTAATCTTCAACTTAGTCCATTGTTAAGTTCTTCTATACCTCTTTGACTTTTCTGAATTTTACTTAAAATTGATATGAGTTTTTTTACTTTTTATTTGAGATGTCCTTGAAGTCTCTTTCCTTCCTCTTCCTTTGCTACTGTCCCCCCATGAGTCTTCTTTTGTTATAATTTATATTTTTTATTTTAAAGAAATCTGACAGACTTTGACTTGGGTAATTTTTTTTCCCTTCTTGATAAGAATTAAGCTATTTTGAATAGTGCCTCATCACAGACTTGAAGAATATATTGAACACAACCACTGACTTTAGTCTTGTAAGAATGTTCTTAACAACATTGACTTTTTTCCTCCCATCACAGGCAATATATGAATAGAAAAGGTGGATTCAACAGACCTTTGGATTTTATTGCTTGATGTCTAGATTGTACTGTTGAAGAGTGATTTCTCCACCACTTGGTCACAACAGAGGATAGTGTATTTAATTGTGTATCAAAAACAGGATGTCTCTTCTCTCTTCCTGAAGAGCAAGATAATCTTATTTATGAAGTGTCTCGGAATACTCGCCCTGCTTCAAAGGAAGAAAGATTTACTTCTTTCTTTTAGAAAAATCTCATTTTGGGAATTTTTCAAACTCTTTTCAATTATTTCTATTCCTGTGGAAGCCATTTGCTTTATGGACACCTTTCCCCACCCCAATCCTCTGGACTTTTTTTTTTTAAATAATCTGTTGTTGGATTCAAGTTGTCCCAAATAAAGTATTTCTCTTTATGGTTCAAATATTTTGATCACTGGAAAGTTTGACCAAGAAATATTTATGTTTCTGATTGCCCAAGAAATAGGAGGAAGAATATAGTTTGGGATTTTTAAATAGAATTAAATTTTGGCATCTGTGTTCTGATAATGTGATCTCTTTCTGGGTTTCAGGCTGGTCAGTTTAGGTTATAGAGTGTGTTGAGATTTCATGTTTTCCTAAACACTATTTTTAGCGAGCAGTTATATAGTTGGCATTGACATTAGGAACACAATTGAGGAAAATAGTATTTAAAGACATAAAATAGATCTTTGTTTCTGTTTTTAATGGAATGATAATAAATGCTTTAAACAGAGTTAATTAAACTTGGAAGTATGAGGTTTCACCTTTATATCATGCTACTTTAGATCTGGATTTTCCCCCCAGCAAAATCCTTCAAGAAAATTGAGGCTTTATTAAATCAAAAAGATGATAAAATAATTTCACTGTCTTTTGTTTATCACCAAGAAAGGCTACCCTTCCAGATTTCTGTTGTCACCTATTCTCTTTCCCTTCTCTGTATTCTCTTTCCCTTCTCTGTACTTTCAGAAGATGGAGTAGCCTTCTTTCTTGCCAAATTTCATCTGCTTGCCTCCTTGATCCAATCTCCTGATGCCTTTGGGACCTTGCTCCATTAATCTCCCTTTTTCCAGCCTCCACCCCACAATCAACTCACATCTCTCTTAGTCTAAAAACAACCTTTCTCTCTTCTTGCTACGCTCTTAATCTATTATATCTCTTCATCTTCACTGCTAGACAGAAAGAGTAGTCCACATTGACTGCCTCTAGTTTCTTACCACAGCCTTATGCCTCAGACTTCCATCTCTACCACTACTCTAAATGACCTGATTGTTTTCCGATCCAGTGGGTTTTCTTTGATTTTCACCTTCCTCAACACTTCTCCCCCTTTTGAAAATTGTCTTCCCGTGGTTTGTATGATACTATGCCCTAGTAGTTCTCCTTCTGTCTCTCTATCACTCCTTTGTTTGCTATACCATTTCCTCTACCTCTTCTGCCCCTAAAAATAGACTTCCAATGAAAGTTTTTTTCTTGATGATATGAACTACTTATTCCCATAGTTTATGATATCACCTCCATGGAGGTTATTTACCAGTCTGCATCTCCAGATTTTTTTGTTTTATCTTAACATCTCTCCATAGCTTCCATTCTTCAGTGCTGATGAACAGCCCATCTTTACTTGGATGTCTCAGTAGCTTTTCGTACTCAAAATGTCCAAAACAGAACTTATTTTCCTTTCTTTTTCCCCTGCCCCTTCATTGATAGTGCTGCTATTGCCCTCTCCCCATCCCTGAGGTTCAAAACCTTTGACTCTTCCCTTTTTACCTTACTTCCTCCCACTCAGCATTATCTCCACCCTCCTTGCCACTGCCATATTTCTGAGCTTCATCCTGCCTAGTCCATTTTAATAGTGCCCCAAATGATCTCAACATCTTATTTCCCTCCATTTCCGGCACATATTTCAAGCAAATTGTACAATAATTGTTTATCAGTGAGGAAACTAAGGTTCAGAGATGCCAAATGATTTGGCCACAATTGCCCTGTTGCTGATGGACAGGGCCAGCCTGTAGTTAGCCTGATCAGGTTTGGATCTGATTCCAGAGATCCAGTGCCCTTTCACCTGGACCACAAGGCCAAGACAATAATGAATATTATTGTTTAACCAGTTGTTTAATTGGAAAGTATCCAAGATTATTTTTGAGAAATGATTTTCTCATTTCTGATTTTTGAGTTTGAAGTGTTTTGGTCTTTGCACTGATCCATTGTTAGATCTTAAATATAGTGTTAGACATCTTCCTCTAGAGCTGTGAGACTAAGATTCTGTATGTGTTAAGTTTTGACTGCAGATAGTAATTTTTTTTTAAGGCTCTTGGGGTTAAGTGACTTGCCCAGGGTCACACAGCTAGTAAGTGTCAAGTGTTTGGTCTGAGGCCGGATTTGAACTCAGGTCCTCTTGACTCCAGGGCTGATGCTGTATCCACTGTGCCACCTAGCTGCCCCCAGATAGTAATTCTTAAAGTACATTCGTGGCAAGTGTATTCCATGTAAAACGAAATAAAATGATGGACCTACCTCCCTCAAAGTCCTAAAGATGGAAACTAACCATAATTCACTTCATTATTTCATGGAATTGAGTATACAGTTATTTATTCACATAAAGCAAAAATCAAAAAAGTTATCCCATTTAGTATCATCTTTGTAGTTTACTCAATAGATTACAGTGACAGATTACTTGAAAATTTTCCATGTTTTCAGAAAGCAAATACAAGAACAGAAAACTGGCTTTTACCATTCATTTATTGTCCATTTATGAATTAGCCAGTGCAGGGTTTTAATTCAATTATTAAATAATTTAATTTAATTATTAGGTCCCATATTATATAACTTATATGTGATACTTATTATAAATGCTTATTCCTTTCTATCCTAACTTTAGTTTTCTGTCATCTCTTTCTGTTTTATAGTTCCTGGTCTGATGATCATTCTTTATGGTTGAGAATTCAGAAATGAAAGAATTGAATGGGTGGTGAAGGAATGATGGAAGTGAATGTAGAAAGCTTTCTAGTAGTTTAGGTAGAAGAGAACAGAGCAAACCTTTATTAACCTACTGTGTGCCAGGCACTGTGCTTAGCACTCTACAGATATTATCTCATTCGATTTGAATTTAGCAATAAAGAAAAAGCCAGCTTTGGGATGTGTGAAACAATGGAAAAACAGAGACTTGCCTTTCTTTGTATCTCTAGTGCTTATCACAAAACACAATACATAAAGCAAGTACTTAATAAAATGTTTGTTGACTGGCTGATTGACCACCTAATTAGGGTCAAGGGAATTTTTGGTTTTTTAAAGGATAAAAAAGACCTGAACATGTTTCTAGGGATTGGGGAAGGATCAAGTAGATAAGGAGAAACCGAAAATAAGGAAAAGGGGAATGTTCATTGGGTAAGCTCTTGGAGGAGAATGGGAGATGGAATTCAGAGCACAAATGGAGAAGTGAGCATTGGCAAGGAGGAACCTTGTCTTCTGAGACTGAAGAAGGAGAGGACAGAGAGAGGTGCTGAGGTAAGATGAAGGAGCTTGGGAAGGATGGCCTCAGTCTTAGTCAAACAGTAGGTAAAGGCATGTATGGGGTGACCTATGAGCAGTGGACTTGAGAGAGGACAAGGTTTTGAGTAGCCAGTGTGGGGAGTGTCACAGGATGACAAAAGGATTTTTATGTAGTGGTGAAGTTAAATAACATGAATTTGTAGTAGACCCAGTCATCATGGTGCCATGACTTACTTTAGTAGCACTTGACTGCTCAGGAGTGAGATCTGAGAAAGCAAATGGTGGGCCCGATGGATTAGCAGAACTCTAGAAGGAGAAAGGGCTAATGAGTTTACAGTTGGAGGATAGCCTTATGGAACTTGTTAACTATAACATCAAAACCATGAAGAAGAGGAAGTGAGGCCAGAGCAGGGGGGCAGACTAGAAGAAAAATAACTTTTGTCAGCTGTCCTTTCTATAGAAAGAAAAGTACAAGTCTGAGTTGAAGCTCCCCGTATCAGGGAGCAGCCTGTATCAGGCTTGCACATGAGCTTTATGATCTAGATTTCACTATGTAACTACTGAAAGATCCTTTATCAGAGATGATGTAGATGAGACTCTTGTTCCTGGTGTTGACTGAACCAGATGACTTCTAGGTATCTTCAAACTCAGATTCTGTGAAGTCATCCATTTCCTACTAGGGGAGTGGTTTCAAAACTGAAAGAAAGGGAAGAATGGGGGCAGCTAGGTGGCGCAGTGGATAGAGTGCTGGCCCTGGAGTCAGGAGGACCTGAGTTCAAATCTGGTCTCAGACACATAACACTCACTAGCTGTGTGACCCTGGGCAAGTCACTTAACCCCAGCTGCCTCACCGAAGAAAAAGAGAGGGAGGAAGGAAATGCATTTATTAAATGTTTACAGTACTGAGTAATGAAGTAGGTCTCCTTCAATGAGGGCTCCCCAGCACAGTTTCAAGTAGCCCACAATTATGAGGCACAGGGGCTATTGTTCAGTGCAGAAAGCTCCAGGATGTCAGAATCCTAGAAGACTTTTATTGACTTGAGGCATTGTGTCAAGTGGCCCAAATATGGAAAAAGATGAGAAGGGTGAGAAGAGGGGAGAGTTTGGAAAATACATGTAAGTAAGGGACAAAGGGATAGCATCAAAAGAGGAGACCCAGAGTGTGCCTGAGCAGCTGTAAGCAGAGGTAAACTGAAGTAACTGGATGTCACAGGCCACTGTCTGTTAAGGAGAAGATGACAGCACTATAGCTACACTCAGAGGACCCATCAAATTGATTCCATGCAAAGGGAGCTGGAGCTTGCCAGAGCCAGTGCAGAAGTAGATTTCTAAAGTGGTCACTGAGGGTGCATTGAGAGGCCTGGGGAATTTTGCTAACCTTTCCTCTCATGTGCTAGGAGCAGTTTCCTCAATCACTTGTGTTTTTCCAGGAAGTTTCTATGTGAATCACCACTTTGAATATATAGAAAATGTATACCCATTTGTGTTTGAAGGCAGAAAATTATTGTTACTTGATTCCCTTATGTGTTTATGTGTGTGTGTGTGTGTGTGTGTTTAATCTTAAATGCTTTTGTTATTGGATTGATGACGTGAATGATCTGATACTAGAGAGTGTTATATTGGTAGTACTTGGGCTATGATGTGCCTAACTGGTTAACCAGAGTAGTCACATTAATCCTGGGAATGTAGCAAAGGGCTCCAGAGCCAGAGTTCTCAGAATTTTTAGAGGTGTATTTGTTATGCCTGCTTCTGTTTTTTCTTCCATTTATCCTCATCCAAATTCTGGCTTCTCTCTCTCATCCTGTTAGTTCATGGAGTTCTTCCCAAGTATATCTCTTCATTAATTCATTCAGCAAACATTTATGAAGCACCTACTAATATGCAAAGCATTGTGCTAGGCACTATAGATAGAAAGACAAAAGCAAATCATTTCCTGCCCTGAAGGAGCTTACATTCTACTAGAGGACTACATTATACAAGTAAATAAATACAAAGTAATTTCAAAAAGGGCAGCTAGGTGGCACAGTGGATAGAGCATCAGACCT